GCTTAATGATGTTTCTGACCACACTAGGTCCGTCTTCAGAGTATAAAGAAGACTCTAAGAGGATATATTTACTGTGAACATTATACCTTCATTATATGTACTTCTTGATTATTATTGTTTATTGTTACTATTAATAAAAAATTCCAGAATGGCTTAATTGCGCATAATTTTTTATGATTGTCGGTCTGGTGACTGTTTCTTCCGCTCTTGACGAAAATAAGCTCTTTGCTCCAGACGACCTGAGCAGTCACAATACTTAAACACTAGATTTACCTTGAAGATATTCTTGTGATTGATACGAGCCAAATAATGTAGCGGTCAGTCAGCCCGTTGACGATCAAATTGACTTGTTTATAATAAACTTCTGTTTCTCTGCTGTTTTCGGTATAATTACCAGGCAAGAACGAAATCTTCGATCCTTTGCTATTAATAATTTTTTCTTATTGCTTGTCATTACTGTTGTTGTTCCTTGCTTCGTTTGCCTTTTGCTTTCATTACTTTACGCTCAAAAATAATTACAGATTAGACTCAAAGACGATGATAATAAACGTGTACAAGATGCCCGCCTGTTTAATGTAGACAACAATACAACATTAAACCTGAATTTGTTGATTCCGTAAAAATGAATGGTTATTCGTTTATTTAAGGGGCACATTTTTTGTTGACTTCGTCAAAGTATAACTGCTAAGTGCACAAATCAGGTAGCAAGACCATTCCAACAAGTTTCCAGAGCATTGATATAGCTATACCAAAGCACCCTCCGTGTTGACAGTTTGCCACAGATGACGAACTCGCTATCCGGTTGTCGTCTAATTGCACCCCAAGACACGGTCATGAATGAGTTGAGCAGAGAAAATGCAGCTAATAAGAAGAATCGTTCCACGTTTAGATTAAAACTCGAATTTCTTAGGGCACACACCAACGCCTTCCTTCTTTGCTACTGTCACTTATTGGCTTAAGTTAGCTGTTTTGGGCTCTTGGAGTTATTGTGTTTTTCAAGAGCGGTGCGTCATAAATGCATGTTGCTGTACTTGTTGATATCTTCGGTCAGAAAATGAGTTTTTTCCATATCGTTCTGCCAAAAGAATGATCTAATATTTACTATTTATTAAAGTATGTGTTTCTAGGTGCTGAATTATATGCAAACGATGCTACTTTTCTCAGATAGGCGAGTGAGCACGTCCAGAATCTCGTCGAATCGTCTCGTACTTTTCCATGGTAATTTTATTTCGTTTGCCTGTTTAGTACTTTTGCTCTGCGTAATGGCTAAGATTGTGTTTTATACAAGTTGGTCGTACAATCTCTTTAAGAGTTGTCTGTAAAGCATGAAATTTATCATTGTTATTTTTTTCTAACCGAGTATTTTTTATGCAGGACCTCCGGGAACGGGTAAAACGACGCTCTGTAAGGCCCTTGCCCAAAAAGTTTTCATTCGAATGTCTGAGTGCTACGATTCCGGCCAGTTGATTGAGGTGAACAGCCATAGTTTGTTTTCGAAGTGGTTCAGCGAGGTGACGTCTTGTCATTGAGGAACTGTTTGTAAACTTTGTCTTGCGTAGGATGTTACAGAGCGGAAAGCTGGTGCTGAAGTTGTTTAGTACGATCACGGCGTTGTTGCAAGACCCAAGGTCGCTGACATTCATTCTCATCGACGAAGTAGAGAGTCTGACAGCGACACGTCAGAACGCTTTGAACGGCAACGATCCTTCAGACGCTCTTCGAGTGGTCAATGCGCTGCTTACCCAACTGGATTCCATAACAAGGTGATGGATGTTACTCTCAATTCATTTCTGTATCAAAAACAAGCTGCGGTTTACATCGACACCAGGATTTGAGGATTCGAGGGCATCGACCGAAGTTCACTCTTCCATCTTTGCGATCAAGCATTAAGAAACACGATGATTCTAAACAGCAGACTGATGCTCAATCCACTGATATATTAATTCATGCATGCATTCATTCTTTCTGTCATTAGTTCATTCATTTTCGCTAGCTGGAAATTCTGATATGTGCGGGGTCGCAGTATTCGGATGCGTTGACTGTGGTTGTCAATATCATTGCCAGCAATCTCGATGAAGGGCAAGCAATAGTAAGGGATACCTTTCTCGATTGCAGCTCATCCTACAACACGCAGCAAACGTTTAGCTTCTCGGACTGTGGACTAAACATCGGTGTAAAATCTCATATTTCCAATCTGCCGGCCACATATTACCTGAGATCCTGAGAGTTTGTTCTCGCCAGCAGGAAGTAATCTATGGCTGGCCTGACGACACCTGGAGTCGCATAAGGTTCCTGTTTTCACTTCCAATGTTCATCTTATGCATGTCATGATATTATCCGTCGGATACTACCCCCACGTGCGTGATGTGTGCCAACGATATTGCTGCACTGGCTGCTTCAGTATAGTCTAGATGATAATTATTACGGCGTTTCATGTTCTCCATTCAAGAAGTAGTAGACTGAATGCGTGACACTGGCCTAACACTCAATCAAAAGTAATCTAAGGATTGTCATTTCTATCGTGCAAGGTATGTAAACTGAGCCTGCACAACATTTGCTTTTCCAGTTGTACAGTTTCGCAACACCTTATTTTAAAAAATGTCTGGAGCTGATTGTGGATGAGTGCCATGGTTATGAACAACAGACGAATGCGATGGTTGATAAAGTGCAGCGATCGCCTTCCGTGATGTGTGGGAGTTTGTGTGTTGACCCAGAAACGCTATTCGTCTATGCTGCACCGGTTATTTCTGCAGTCTCAGGAGAAAATAGCTGGCTCACACCCGAAACCTTTAGAACCTACTTAAATGACTCTGTAACTGCGGCGCTGATGAGCTTGGCTCCATCCTCACCACATGCTTGATAATGACAGCAGTTGCTCTGTGCATTTCTGTTCTACCTGACCCAACTCGCCTTTTGTATCAATGTTTCTAACAGTGCCTTTCAAAGAGGCCAAGCGTGAGGTTGATGTATTTCAGGAATATTTTCTTCTACGATGCAGTAGCTGATGCCTTACAGCAAGTGTTGAAGAAATATATATATCCTCCAAGTCCAGATTTTCCTACGTATTGCATCAGCACCGTACCGCTACTTGCCTGGGGGCATTTAAACAGTTTACGTGTGTCCGTTCGACCGTTACCTGTTGTTTGATTTTCCTATACACAGGTTGGATGATTCGCCCTTGTTGATATATCTGCTTCTCTAGGTATCCAAACGTTCTGCTTTTGTCGACCAGTAATATATTGGACGCACTTGATTCAGCATTCATCGATCGGGCAGACATAATGCAGTTCATTGGCAAACCGTCGCTGGAAGCTATTTACAACATGTTGCATAGCTGTGTGCTTGAACTACAGCAAGTACATATAGTTTTTCATCACGACTGATAGTTTTTGATTTTTGCTAACGCCTGATATATAGTGCGGAATAATCAGTGGCGACGAGGTTCTTTACCGGTATAAAGAAATGCACTTGCAGCCATGTGACGTTTCAAACGTCTCTTTGAAGCTTTTGGATATCGCTAAGTATAGCTTGCATTCTGCGATATGAACTAAACCAAGTTGGCGTTTACTATCATAAAATGATTCAGGTCAAAACGGCTACTTTCCTCTTGTGGTGCACTGAGGTAGAGCATAAAGTAGAATAGGATTCAGTAGTTGTTTGAATCGCTCTGTTGCTTCACATTGTCAATCTCGTCAGTTTCGTTTTCAGGTAAAGGGAAGTGAAGAATGATTACTGAACACGATCGCATAGCACAGATTGTTTCTAACCGTCATAATTGCCTTAAAAAACCGCCAGAAAGTTTTGAAAAACAAGTCAGTAGTAAACGAAAGTCTGGATTTTTTCTTTTTCTGTGTGAATCTGTTTCAATGATAGAAACTTTCACTACAAGCTCAGATTGAAAGATTTATTTCTCTGCAAGATGGTCTTATTAGCCTACTGGCAGATATTCATTCGTATTGTAACTGTTAAAGAGAGTACAGTCTGCCTACTGGTGATGGAGGGCTTTACGGTAAATGGGTTGAGTTGGAGGTAGTGGAGGAACTGCGGAGGAGAGTTGAAGTTACTAAAGATGGGTAGACCTGGAGGCTCAAAATTTTGGCTATTTAATTGCATTATAATTATGCATTACTTGTTTATGGGCTTCGTTATCAAGCAGTTAAATGTTGAAAGTTTTGCTTTTTCTCAAGAATTCGAATTCTTCCTATGATACCTCTCAAAAGCTTATAGCGGATACGTTGCATTCTCGAAGTGTGCAGTTAAATTTCCGTGCATGATAACTTTGGTGTGCTACCAATTTTTGACCGTAATTACTTATAGAAAAGCTGTTGGACTGAGCGGAAGAAGTTTAAAGAAACTGCCTGTTTTGGCGCACAGCTTTTGTCGAAAGGTATGCGTATTAAGCTTGCCTCATTGAATGTGGCAAAGAGTAACGACATTCCCCATTATTATTTTCCGTTGCTTTTTGACTTTCGTACCGTTCGATGTTATGTGCAAGCCAGTCCTTGTGCCGAACCTAGTTTGCCGTCTGTGATAAGTGTTTGAAAATTAACCTATTTTAATTTATTAATACTTTTGGATCTCTCTTTTCATTTACCAAAAATTAAGTTCTTCCGTTCGGTTGTGAAGTCTCTTTAATTTAAGCGTCACGGAATTTATTTGTGTTGCGTTTCGCATGATTATAAAAACCTTTGTTACATTGTCCCCTTTTTTCTTGACGCCTAGGAGACTTTAAATATGGACCACTGCTCCATCGCATATCCAGGGTATATCATTTGCGGTGCATGCAGTCAGTACCGCACTACTGTTTTTGGTTGAGAGACAACATCTGCAGGCACTAAATGAAATATCGCAAGTTTATATGTGACCAGAACTACCCATGATATTCTGGGTTGGTAATAAAAATTAGTTTTCGATACCGCGGGTAATAAAAGATTCTCTTTTCTCTGCAGTCATTGACTTCTGTCAGTAAACACAGTGTATCTTGGACACTTTGTTCATGTATATTACCTTTCATGGAAAGATGTATGTTGAACATAACAAGAAAATTATGACATACATGGCAAACAAGTGTGAAAGAAAATAAGCAAGATTCTGTTATGTCATTACACGGAGGAAGAAGTTATGATGGCAATGAGTAGGACACGTTGCAACAGGCTCTGACAAGTGTAGTATTAGACTGGATTCTAAGTGACCGGAAATGGCGGTAGGAAGATCTCCACATCGATGTCAGAGTGATCTGAAGAAGTTTGTTGGATCAATATCGATAAAAATCTCAGGAAACAAATGTTTATAGCAAAGTCGATTCGACTTTGAGACACTTTCATCTAGCAGAGAATTAAAAAATGTTTATGGTTGGTGATATTATCATTCATGCCGGCATGAATGAAAATTAGTTTCTCATTTAATTCACATCGGTCATGAATTAGCCCATACTGTTTCGTGGGGTTCAGTCGAAATCGATAATAGCGCAGTTTTTTTGCACTGTCACTAAATACACTTCCATAGATAAGGCTTTGCATAGCCTTCTGCAGGTTTAAATTTAAATAGTGGCTTAATTTTATACGGCAGTATGTAATAATTGAAGATTACTAGTTTATAATGAGCAGTAAATCAGTTTCATTTTCATACCGATATGAATTGATTGCTCTTGTTAATTTATTTACTTGCTTTTGCATATTATTTAGTTATGCATAATTTATTTTTTTATTCTCGTTTATTTAATGGCGGCAGTAACTATTAATCCAGGTCTAATTTTGACAGCCAAGAAATGGTTGTTTTTCTTTTACGTTTCACTTATTGAGATGAGTTACTGGTGGGCTAGGACGAATTTAAAACGTAGGGCATACAGTATACACCACCCTGCGTTACTCTCGATGGTGACACCTGAACATTGCGTTTTCCCGCTAGTTCGCAGGTAGGACTTCCCATCCACTTTTTTGGCCTTTGGATCGATTTGTTGCTTAAGGGAATTGTACATATATACATATGCACTGG